TGAATGGATAGAAAAATACTGACCAAGGTACTGGCAACGTGGCTCTCAAATGTTCTGGGGTCCCTGGTCAATATTGACCAAACTGGGTTCATACCGGGCAAGTCTACAGACAACCAACCTACGCAGACTGTTCACTAATCTTCAGGTAACCCATGACAACGCGTGTTCGAGCCTTGGCCTCGCTGGATGTGGCCAAGGCTTTTGACTCTGTTGATTGGGGATACATGTGGGAGGTACTAAGATTGATGGTATTTGGCCCTGGGTTTCGCAGATGGATCAGTATTCTGTATAGCTCCCCTAGGGCTGTCCTCAAAATTGTATCTCTTCTGTCTGAGGCTTTTGTGATCGAGAGAGGCACTCGCCAGGGATGCCCATCGTCGCTGAGCTTGTTTGCCTTGGTGATGGAGCCCCTGGCGATTGCTCTCTGCTCTTCAAAAGATCTGCGGCCAAAAATTGGGGGTATAGAGGTAAGACTATCGCTATACGCGGACGACCTTATCCTTTTCCTGGTAGATGCGGGCCCGTCACTACAGGCTGCACTGAGAATTTTAGACACCTTTTGCAGGCTTCTCGGGGCTGCAGGTAAATTGGTCTAAGTCCCATGTAGCCCCCCTAGATCCACTGACCCGGTCACGTGCGGATAACACACTCTCTTTACAGTGGGTTGAAAAAATTACTTATCTAGGAGTCCATCTAACAAAATCGGTTAGGGATTATTACCCCCTCAATCTTCTCCTGCTGTTGTCCCAACTTAAGACAAGGGTGGAGTCTTGGAAACATCTCCCCCTGTCCCTGGTGGGCAGGGTTAACCTGATCAAAATGAAAATATTGCCTGTTTTCCTGTACCAGTCTGGGTACCACAATCCTTTTTCCGGAAAATTAATAGTGCTGATCCTTGCCTGCCCTCAATACAAACTAGTGCAACTTGAATGATGTTCCATTTTGCTCATGTGGTTAGCACTTTCCTCCCTGTTCACATAGGAAAGGACTAGCACCTGTTCACTAGAGCTGCAACAATTATTTGATTAAAATTGACGATGGAAAACTTTGTCAACGTTTTCCATCGATTCGCCGGCTAAAATTCAAATTTCCCGCTCGCGCTACGCCCACGTCGGTTAAGCCGTTTGCGCCACGCCCACGACGGTAAACCCGCTCACGCCACGCCGCTTAGCCATGCCCACGCTGAGGACACGCTGAGGGCTTCCCAACTCGCCGCTGCCCGCCGACAACCAACAACGCCGCTGCTCGCCGACAACACCGTCATTCAAAGTAAGTCAAGATCAGCCGGGAGCTTTTTAATGTTTCCTGTTGTGGTTTTTTTTTTTA